ACTTGCCTAGCAAGTGCAATGTCCTGGATTTGATCCCTAGTACCAAAAAAGAAAAGACAAAATTTGCAGTTTGACCAAAGTCCAAATAAGCCAGGCACTGGTGGTGCACGCCTGTAATCCTAGCTGCTCAGGAGGCTGAGATCTGAGGATCGTGGTTGAAAGCCAGCTCGGGCAGGAAAGTCCATGAGACTCATTTCCAATAAACCACAAGAAAGCTGGAAGTGGCGCTGTGGCTCAAGTGGTAGAGTGCTTGCCTTGAGCTGAAAGGCTGAGGGACAGCACCCGGGCCCAGACTTCAAGCCCCATGATTGACCAAAAAAAGAAAAAAAAAACAAAAGAAAAGAAAGGAAAAAATAATAAAAACCCAAATGAAGGCAGCCTGGGCAGGAAAGTCCATGTAACTTTTATCTCCAACTAACGACCAGATAAAAAAAGCCAGTAGTAGAGCTGTGGCTCAAGTGATATAGTGCTAGCCTTGATTTAAAAAAGAAAAAGAAAAGGCTCAGGGACAATGCCCAAGTCCTGAGTTTAAGCCTCAGGACTGGTACAAAAAATTACATATAAAAATTCTGAGGTAGAGAAGTTTTCAGGAATAATATCCACCTTTTCAGTAAAGCAAGGATGGAGGTTATTTGCTGAGATACTGAGCTGTGTTTTGGTGTTAAGGAAGAGTAGAGATTGCTTGAAGTAACACTTTTGGAAAATGTGGTCAGGGAGACAAGGAATAAGGCTGTAGACTTGTCATAAGGAGTCAAGGCCTATTCTTCCAAACAGAACTGAGTGTCTATTTCCCAGCCTCACTAACAACTACCCTCTTCAGATGGGTATGCATCTTCCTCTTAACACACATCCACACCCAGCCTTTCTCTCTTGCCATCTACTCTTCACTGCACTTACCACTATTTTATTTATGTTGAACTGTTGAACCTGCTAGGATGAGAGCAACATCTAAGGAGTTTCGGAGCCTCTGTATGGGCCTGGGCTTTGTCTCTGACCTTTTTGCTCTAGGCTAGCACTCTACCACTTGAGCTACAGCTCCACATCTGGCTTTTTTGGTATTTTAGTGGAGATAAGTATCTCACAGACTTCCTGCCTGGACTGGCTTTGAACTATGATCCTCAGATCTCAGCTTCAGTTGTGAGTCACCAATGCAGGGTATCATCTTCCTTTTTTATTTCATTCCTATAACCCTGTCTTAATTTAGCCATGCTTAGCTGGTGCTTGAAGTTCCTTAACCACGTTTTCTGACTTTTGTGCTTTTATACATTCTATCTGAAATGTCTTACCTATCCTGTCTACCCAGCAAAATCTCACTCTGAGCCCATATATTGGGTCTTAAACCTCCTCTTTCCAGTTGTCAAGGTAAGTTCACGTCAAAGTATGTGGTCTGATCTATTTTTATTTTTCCTTGCTCTGCTCAGAGAAATAGTTGAGGCAAGCCTATTCATTTATTTTGTTTTGCTGTTTCTTGGGTGAAAATGAGTTGCCCTGGGTTTTAAATGTGATGGTGGACTTTTCTGTCCAGTTTTGATGGTAAAGCAAAAGACAGTCATCACTCTTAAAATACAGATGGATATTCTATTCATTCCAACACCCCCCAAAGCCAAAAACAAACAAATCTCATCCAAAAAAAACCTCATCCTAAAATAACAAAATAGTAAGGATTGTTCCTTCACTGGGCTGTAAGATCACACAGTGTCCCTAGCTCCTGGGAGCTAAGCAAGTAGAATGAGGGAGCGAATGATGGCAGTGGGCTGTGTGGGGACCATCGCAACCTGGAGGGCTCTACCCCATCTGATGAACTGAGCTACTTAACATGTGCCAGGTGATTCAAATGAAACTAGCTTGTAGTAAATGCTCAATAATACTGGAATTATTATTTTAATCATAATATAATTAAATCTTGTCTTGACAGCTGGTAATGATTTAATGTTTTTCTGGCTCAAAGGTAATACTCTCATTTTCACCAAAGCCCTTAGAAACCTTAATGGAAGAAACAAAGGGAAAATAGCTCTTCTACTCTGATGGTTTATAAGGAAAATATTTTGAGGTTTTTTAAAAAATTGTACTCCTCAAGATAAACTCAGTATGGTTATTTTCATGGAAATTAATGTACTATTTTTGTATCTGCAGTCTGAATGCTTTCTCTAAAGATAAAAAAGGAAATGGAAAAAGATTATTTCAAGTGCTTTTTAGTTTTTCATTTTTGGCAGTACTGGGATTTGAACTCTGGGCTTTGGGCTTGCTATCTACTCTATGAGCCACACCTCCAGGCCTCTGTTTCTTATGATCTGGACAAGTCTTACTGCCAGTGAAGTGAGGAACATGTACCTCATCAGGCTCTCTCTCCTTCCTCCCTGTAGATCTTCACAATGTTTTTGTGGGATGTGCTAGTTACTGGTGTCAAGGATGGGCAATGAATCAGGCTCCCCTGTGTTTGGGGTGTATCTGTCATAGTCATTCTATGTCTGTGCCAGCCTGAACAATTTCTCAGAATGTTCCCTCTGGTCTTTCTTCTTAGCCAACTTCCCCCTCAAGTCATTCCAAGTCAATTGTAAAAGACTCCTGGGGCCCTGGGTCTGGATAGTGCCAGGGCTCTTAACTGTAGCCAAATACAGGGTCAGCTCGGTGCTAGGCTAGTTGCTAATAAATGCTCTGTTGATGGAATAGAGATTGAGAAGCTGAATGTGCTTCAAAAAGATCCCATCAGAAACCAAACACCCTTTCTATACATGGGAGCCTTGTTGCTGCTTGGGCCAGATAGGAAGTGCCATTCATGTAGCTCTGAAAACTTGAGAGAAGGGAAGTTGGTTCCAATTTTGCCTTTCTTTTTAAAGACAGTCTGATTTCTCTTCTATTTCTTAAGTGTTGGAATTACAGGAGTATACCACCATGCCCAGTTCCATTTTGCTTGTTTTGAAGAGGAGATCAAGATTTATTTCTACCCATTATTGAAACCAGCAGCTTAAGGTTTTAAGATTTCATATCAAAGAAAACACACTCACATACGTACTAGTTATTTCCTGTGGAAGTTTCACAATAATAGTTATAACGAAAACTTCAGTCATGATAATATTGAACCATGTGACCCCAGCTAACAATAATGTATTATATATTTCAAAAACACAAAAAGAATAGATTTTGAATATTCTGACCATGTAAAAATAACAAATTGGTGAGATAATGATATGTTAATTATCTGGACTGACACTTTCTAAAATATATGCAGATATCAAAATGGCATGTTGTACTCTATAAATATATTATGTGCAATTGTATTTTCCAATTAAAAATAAACATTTCATTTAGAGCTGCCTGAATTCCACTATGAATGTAAAATCATTTTCTATGTATGTAAGATATGAAATGTAAGATCATTTGTTACTGTTTTATGTTAATGTTATTTTCTAATTTTTAACAAAGAGAATGACATTGTACAGTAGCAATAGAGTCTCCTTTTCAATATCATTTAAAAAATTAAGAATACCTTTTTCATTAAAAGATCATAAAAGAAAAAAACTTGAACCCAAAATAAGCCTTAGTCATTTTGGAACTTTATAAACACTAGTCCTAGATTCTCAGGACCAGGAAGCTTTTTCTGTCCTAAGCTGCAGTACTGGCAGAGCATAGAGTTTTCGGTGGATCATCAGATATTTTCTCTCATACATACTCTGTTCTCTGAAATGGAGGGAGTAGAGAAGAATGCTTACCCTGGTTTCAAGTCTTAGTTGATCTGTATATCAACATATATCAACACATATGGATCAAGTAATCTGCTGTATATTGGGCACTCAATAAAGGAATATAAGATTCTCATCCTGATCATGGCTTCTCCCAGGTCTCTCAGGGTGTTTGGAGGTCAAAGCTCTTTTTAAAATCCTTTATTAGCACAAATTAATTTTAAAAAAGAGGTTTCATCAGGATATTTACATACATACAGATAATATATTTGATCAAGTTCACCTCATCTATATTATTATTTTGTTACCCTCTTCCTCCCAATTTTTAACAGTTTTAGAAGGTTTTAGTATACTATTTTTAATGCCTTACCCTCTTCTTTTCTTCTCCTCTCAAAAGAGTTTCTCTTTTACAATCATATCCTGTTATTATTGTTTTTGTTAGCTGAAAAGTCTTTACATAGATGAAAATGATATTTGTCTTTCTGAGCTTGGCTTATCTCATGGGGTTCAAATGTGTATGTAAAGGTGACAATAAGGATAGTAAGGACTGGTCTGGATAAAAGCAGGGTAAATCAGTGAGGGACACACACACACACACACACACACACACACACACACACACACATACACACACACACACACCCTCAAGTCATTCAAGGCCCTTTTCTTTCCTTTATTTATTATGGATTGTTTCCCTCTGTGTAAAGATTAAAAAGAGTTACAGGACTCAGAGGTCACTGGCAGCCTGCTCTAGGTCCATGATTGTACCTTGAGTACCCTTGACAATGGCAGCTGTAGAGCACAATGTTTCATTTTTCAGCACATAAACTGAATCCTGGACTGTACTGAATCCTGGACTGTCTACTGAGGGACCCCTGACAGCTCTGGCTTTCAAGTTGCCTTGAACTCTGTGCTAAATTTGTGGAAGTTGGGGCTCAGGCTCCACACTCAGCTCAGCAACTTATATTGATCCTTGGGGCTCTTTTGTCTTCCTCTCCAGTAACAAATTCTCTCTCCCTCTCCCTCTCTCGGTCTCTCTGTCTCTCTCTGTCTCTCTGTCTCTGTCTCTGTCTCTGTCTGTCTGTCTGTCTCTCTCTCTCTCCCTCCTTCCCAGGCTTCAGATTCCTTTCTATGCTTCTAATGAATTGAAATCTCTGAGAGCAGCTTCGGCTCTGGTAGTTTTATAAAACTGTCTTTGCTCTTTCTGCATTTGCCCAGTCAAGGGTATCTTTGCCCGAGGTCGGAATGATGCTGTTAGTCCCGGTGATGATTGCATAGCAACACAGAGCAGCTTCAGGAGGGGAGGAGGAAGAGGAGGAGGAGGAGGAGAAGGAGGAGAAGGAGGGCAGGGAGGTGGGAGAGACGGAGGGAGAGTGTGCACACAGCAGCTGTCGGCATCCCTGTCTCAGTGACTTCTTTGCTGATTCACAGAAGCAGCCCCTGCCTCCCAGCTTCCAGCTACCGCCTGCTTCTCAGACCTGCCGGAATCAGAAGGTAGGCCACAGAGAAATTATTTTCCAGCCTCGCCCTTGTTCAGCTGGCAGAAGGCAGATGACTGAAGGAGGAGAAGCTCCTGAGGTACCGTGTGAGGGTGCATGTCCGCATGCCTGTCTGCCTGTCTGCTTGCATGTGTGCCTTTGGGGGAAAACTTGCATTAAAAAAATGCTCATAATGAAGTACTCACTGCTTGGATTCATGAAGAAAAAAGGGGGAAAAAGATGCCCAGGAATAAGAATTCAAGCGAATTTGAGTAATGGATTGAAAAATAAATAAGACCATGATTTGTTGCTTCAAGATAAGAGGAATATTATTGATTTTAGGTGCTTAATGCCAGGCTTTTTTATCCAAGGGCAAATAGATTTCCTGGTTAGTGGGAAGGGAAGGTGTGTGAAAAGCATTGGCTAGGAAGGAAGGAGAGAAACACAGGACCTCCCAACAGATATGCTAGATAAATACCTATCCAGCTACCAGACAGGACACATTCTCTCCTGGAGTATACCGGGCTCTGCCTTAAGATCCTGGGGCTGAAAGGCTCATCTCATCTCTACTTCATTTGCTGGCTCCCTTCATGATCCCTGATGCATTTTCCCACTTGTATTCTCCCCTACACCCTGTAACCAGGAGTCATCTTTTCACTCTTGACGATCTAGCTTGGAGTGGTTTGAAAGAGGGCTCACTTCCCTTGGAGTCCAACACCTCATTACCCTCTGCTCTCTCTACCTTTCCCATCCTCAAGTTGTATGCCCCAGTCTGGTGAGTGGGCCTGGGACAGTGGGAGTAGTTGAGGTTCTTCCTTCAGCGTGTGGATAGAAAGGCCTGGTGGATCTAAGCAGGTGGGAGGGCTAAGGTGGGTTTAGGAGGGGCAGAGGAGGAGAGATATTAACAGCTGCTGAGGGTATGGTGCACTCTATCATGTAGAGAACATATTTCTCTACCATTTTCTTTTTGATGGTTTAAAAGAACAAAGACATTTACAAAGTCTACTTCACCTTAGTAACCGATTCTTTCAAAAGAATTCTTGTTTCCAGATTAAAGGCCTTCAAGTAAATTGTCTTTACAAAAGGCCCTGTGGAAACTACAGACTTTAGGAGATTAGGAGATTTTTTACCCTGTAAAGGTGGGGGAGGGGGAGAGGTGTTCCAAAGACTCTTAGAGCCTTCTAAGAAAACTATCCAGCCCCAGTCCTGCAAAAGGAAATGCTTGAAGTTGAAGTAAATGTCCTGTCCCTGAAAGAAGATGGAGCTCTTCCTCCCCTGAGTAGACAGGCCTCTGTGTTAGAGTCCTGCTTCCTGCTTAACTACTGCTGTGGGAAGAAGGGACATGGGACGACTTGTTTCTCCAGACACCTGCCCTAATGATGTAGCTCTGAGTTCCTGCCTGGAAAGCCCTTCACTTTGCTATGGTCTATAGAAAGAGAGTGTGGTTTGAAGCAGCAAACTTAGCAAAAGCTCAATAGCCAGCTGCAGAGAGCACATATGGGAAGCAGCCCTCATAACACAGATGCTCAGTGGTTTCTGGTATTGGATCTGCTACAAGGCCAGCTAGAATAGATTTTTTAATGAAGCCTAAGGACATAGCCTTATAAACTTACTGGGAATACTCAGAGAAACCTCAGCCAGTGGAAATTATGCCATGAAACTATATTCCTCCCTTGGAAAGGATTTGAAACACACTGGCATCTAAAATAGCAAGTAAATCCTTCTAGAACAGCATTTACCAAAGCACTGTTCTACAGAACACTATTCTGGGAGAATGTTAATAGGTTCTGTTTTAAGTGTTGCTATGGGGGGGGGAGGAAGAAGGGAGGGGGAGAGGAAGGGGAAGGAAGAAGTCTGTGGTCCAATAATTTTGTGGAAATAATGTTCCTCTTGGACAGTGACAATGTAAACAAACCATATAAAAGGCCCCATAAAAAACTAATGTGAATTAATCCAAGTAATTTTGTTCAACTTAGTATATAGAAAACTCATTTGACCAGAGAACATTTTACTGTATGGAAAACATTTTAGCATCTTGTAGACATAGTTTGGGGAATTTCTACTAAAGAATCAGTCAGATAACAATAAATCTGGGGAAAATAGTCACACGAAAAAAAATTTAAATAAATCTACCCTGATGATGCTTTTCTTGTGTGTGTGTGCAAGTTCTGGGGCTTGAACTCAGGGCCTGATACAATTTCTTGCTCAAGGCTAGTGCTCACTAAATTAAGCCTCAGCTCCACTTCCAGCTTTTTTGGTATGTAGTTTTAGGTAAGAGTCTCATTGTCTCTCCTGCCCTGGCTGGTTTTGAATCATAATTCTCAGATCTCAGCCTCCTGAGTAGCTAGGATTATAGGCATGAGCCAGCCACATAGCTATCAATGATACATTTTTCAACATGAAAACCCAATTGGTAAATTAGATTGTTCTTCCCATCATGGGCAAGTTTCGGAAATTGTCTCTGAATTCCCAGCTGAGTTTATCCAAGCCCTGGTTCTCCAGCAGGTTACCTCCTATGAAACTAGACCAAGGACAATGAGGCAGATTGAATGAATAATCCTTTAATCTTCAGTACAATATTTGTATTCAAGGCCTTTCTTTTAGAACCTTGTTATATTTTAAAATGATGAGCTTTCATTTTATCATGGGATTTGTTACATTTTGAGAACATCATGAAATATTTTTTACATTTAAAAGGGCATAAAGAATAACAGAGAAAAATCAGAGTTCCTGATGTCCAGGTGAAGAAAGAAAGATCAGTAATAGAGTTGCCAGCCTCTGTCTACCCTCGATAATCAACACTCCCTCCCTATGAAGTAACCACCCTCCTGATTGTGGTATTCATTATTGCCATGCATTTATTCATACTTTACAACATATCCTTATGCCTTTCCACAACATATGCTGCTGCTTCATATGCTTTAAAAGTTTACATCAGTGGTGTATTATATATTTTTCTACAACTAGTTTTTTTCTATATAACATTATATTTATAAAATTGTAACCATATGGTAACATGGGACTCTAATTCACTCAGTTTTCACTGATTTACTTATGAACCTACCACAATCCATTTACCCACTCTGGTACTGATGGACATTTAGAAGTAAAATAGAGAATACCAAACTGGGCACTGGTGACTCACATCTGTAATCCTAGTTATTTAGGAGGTTGAGATCTGAGGACCGTGATTTGAAGACAACCCAGGCAGAAAAGCCCATGAGACTCTTATCTCCAATTAACTACTAGGAAGCCAAAAGTGGTGCTGTGGCTCAAGTGGCAAAACACTAGCCCTGTGTAAAAAATTTCATGGATAACATCCAGACCCTGAGTTCAAGCCCCAGGTCCAACACCAAAACTTAAAAATTAAATTGAGAGAAAGAGAGAGAGAGAGAGAGAGAGAGAGAGAGAGAGAGAGAGAGAGAGAGAGAGAGAGAGAGAGAGAGAGAATATCCCCTCAGTCTGTAAAATTAATGTTTGCTTGGTATCTGTCCAGGCTTTCTTTTTCTGCATGTATACACACAGATTTTTTAAAATATTCTTTCAATATAGGATTTCTACTAGAAATTGTATTCTAACATTTGTTCTGGGTTACCTAATATGTATGTATGTATGTATATACATGTATTTTTGACATTTGCTAAATCAGTGCATATAGGCCGGCCACTTTCTTTTTAGCAGCTATATAACGTTCCACTGTATGAGTGCCTACAGTCCTAGATGATATTTGAATACTCACTAAATGCTAGAAGCTAGGAATGCTTGCCACAAGACCATGGAGCATATCTTTTGATGTTGTTGTTGTTGTTGTTGTTGTTTTGGTTGGTTGTGGGGCTTGAACTCTTGGCCTGGCACTGTCACTGAACTGTTCAGCTTGAGGTGAGCACTGTACCACTTGAGCCACAGCATCACTTCTGGTTTTCTGGTGGTTAATTGGAGATAAGAGTATCATAGACTTTCTTTACCGGAGTTGGCTTTGAACTGTGATCTTCAGATCTCAGCCTCCTGAGTAGCTAGGATGACAGGTGTGAGCCACCAGTGCCCTGCTAAGCATGTCTTTTTGTTATCCTGTTTTATAGACATCAGAGCTGGTGCACAGCAAAGCTAAAGAGCTTTCCAGATCTATGCTATAAGTGGAAGAAGCAGATGCAAGCATGAGCATCCTGGCTCTGCATCTGTGCCCTTAATGACCATGCGACACTGCTTCTCAGATATGGTCCATTGACCAGTCCCCTCTTGGTGGACACTGGAGCTGCTCAAAGATTTGTGCTTTTGTAAACAATACTGCAGTGAGTATTCTTGTCACTTCTGGAAGTCTTTTTCTGTAGTGAAGGTTTCTAATATCCAGTTTTTAGGAGGAAAATGTTCATTCAAAATTAGTTATTGCATGGGCTGGGAATGTGACAGTGGTAGAACGCTTGCCATGCATGCATGAAGCCCTAGGTACCTCAGTACCACATATACAGAAAAACCTGGAATTGGTGCTGTGACTCAGGTGGAAGAGTGCTAGCCTTGAGTAAAAGAAGCTCAGGGACAGTGCCCAGGCTGAGTTCAAGCCCCAGGACTGGCACCAGAATTTTGTTTTTTGTTATTTCTGGGTGTTGGGTGGCTTATGCCTCTAGTCCTAGCAAATCAGGAGGCTGAGATTTGATAATCACGGTTCAAAGTCTAGGCAGAAAATCCATGAGTCTCTTATTCCTAATTAAGCACCAACAAGCTGAAAGTGGAGCTATGGCTCAAATAGTAGAATGACAACCTTGAGTGAATAAAGCTAAGCAAGAACATGAGGCCCTGAGTTAAAGCCTCAGTACTAGCACACAAAGTAAAAATATTTATTGATCTCTAGGCACTGGTCAAGATCAGGGCTCGAATTAAGTAAGTTGGCCAGAATTTTACTTCTCTGATGCACTGGAAAGGTCATCTAAGTGCTTTGCAGGGTTTGCTGGCCTGGTGCTACTGGAGGCCTCAGCCTTCCTGAACCCTGCCTGCTCCTAACTACTGTGTGTTTGCCTGGTA